CCTTAAGCTCACTTCAAACTGCACAGAGAACTGGGGCCAAGAGACTTGATTTGGCACGTGTAAGATTCTTACAAAAAAGATCAGCTGTTCCTGGGTAAAATAAAGAGTTCATCTAACTTGCCCCTGAATCCTTCTCTCATCAGCAGAAAAGCATGTGCATTTTGGAACTTGATCCAGGCTTCCTTGGCTTAATATTACTGTGTATACAATCATGGAGAATAGAAAATCAAGGGACTGGATGCAACAAGACACTAGCAGCCTAGTGCTTCCAGGGTGATGCTATATACAACAGGTCCTCTATACAGCAGGACAATTTCTATTTGTTAAGTGCAACTATCATTTGAATACTTTATTTATCAATATTTCTACTCTAATTCTATTGCTATTCTCCAATACCAAGAGACTGTTGAGGACTTTCACTGAAAGTGAATTAAGGAGAAAGATCTACACTGTGCCCTCTCTGTCTTTACATAATTACCATGCACCAAGTTTTCAAGTGGATTTCAGAGTTGTCACCAAGACTGAGGAGTTGTGCCAAGTTCTCTCTCCTACTCCAGGATTGTTTAGGTAACCACAGTTACAACAGAAACAAACACATAATCCAATAGTGACAGGTCTCCTTAGTCATGTGGTTCCGTAGCACTGAGGCTGGCCAGAACAAGACAAAAAAGGACTTGGACAGTGAACTTTGCTTCTGTCTATAGACAAATAAGTCAAGCCCAATGTACCTTTTTGTTCAGTTTCTCTCCTTAGTGGAACTCTAGAAACAAGTAGCAGTATGAAATTTTATTTTTAATATTAAGTCCCATTACATCTTTACATTAACCAATCACTTGTTAGGTCAGCTATCAGTCCTAAGGTGGTTTCATGGGTACTTAAAAATTTAGTATCAATTCTCTTACACCTGAAAACTTCTGGAACAGAGAAATTTCATTTACTGATAGCCTCAAAATTCTCTCCAAAATCTTCAAGATAGGAATTCAAAAGAACAATAACCAAACAACAAAACAATCACCTATCTGTACGTATGAAAACATGTACACAGTGATAGAGAATGAGGCAAAAGCCCAAAATAAAGCAGGTATCTCTAAAAAAGGGTTTTATTATATTTTTCTTTTCAATTGTGATTTTTTTAAGGGAAACAGTCATTTCCAAGTCATCTAGACAGTTATCTTCTAAATGACACCATAAGAGATTATTATCAGACTATCAGCAGATTCTTAACCATAATTGCTAAGAACTAATGGATGCATCAGCAACTTTGTTAATTTTGTAGCATTTATTAATTATATAAATAATGTGTTTCATTATGACATACTGTACTTAAAAACACCTTGTAAATTATATAAATTTGAGCTGAAATGATCTTTTTTTCCACTGATAATCTCAGTAACATTGGTATTACTTCTTTTAACGCAAAGTTCTTTTTGACAAAATCACATTTTTACAACATAAAACAAATCTATAGTAACTCTAAAAGAATGCTACTCAATAGGTACACACAGTTTAGAGAGAATATATCTAGACAAGTACATAGACCTGCTCATCACACCAGTGGTGATGGAGAAAGTAAGGAGAACCATAGACTGTCTCTGACTCATTTGACTGCTTTTGGGACCCTTTCTCCCCTACTGGGTTCCCTGGTCTAGCCTTAATATGAGGGTATGTACCTAGTCTTATTGTAACTTGATATATCATGTTTGGTTGATATCACTGGAAGGTCTTCCCTTTTCTGAAGGATTGGATCTGGGGGAGAGGGGAGATGGGGGAACAGACTGGGAGAAGAGGAGGGAGGGAAAACTGAGGTCAGAATGTAATGTATGAGAGAATATTAAAAGAACTATCAAAATAAAAAGGAAGAAACCCATGTAGCAGCTGATCATCTCTCCTATAAGGACTAGAGACTTCCTGATTGTGGGAGTCATCCTCTTTTGAGGAAAGCAACTCCTCTTGGGCATGTAGGAGAGTAGGTGCTGCTAATAACCTCAGAAAGAGACATAGCAATCCGAGATTGTTTTGCACATTAAAAATATAAAAAGTGTCACGTGGCCAAGGGCAGGGAAGGTGCAAAATGGGGAACAAGTTTTAGTTGGGGGCTGACTACCTAGTTGTCTTATTATGACGAAGGTCCTCAGGGACTGTAACCACTAAGAGATCAGCGTGGCACCTCGTTCACATTGCAGAACTTCAGTGTCATTAATGGCTCGGTTTCTCCCACTAGTGAGAATTAATTGGAGATTAAGTTAGTATACCAGACATATATCCTTATACACATGCATGCAGCATCTTAAAATTCACAGATATGTCCCATTTCCTCCAGCAGATGTCAGACAACAGCAATCCTGGACTATAAAAATCTAGGCAGCAATAGACTATTTGACAGTGTGATTTTATTTTCAAGAAAAGATAAAGGAGTGTTTCTTTTACAATAGTACTTTTTCTGTACTCACACTTTCTCATTACATTTTACCAGCTGGCATGCTGTTTTGTAATAATGTTTTGTAATAATTACAAAACAGTACCTTTTCCTTTAAGCTTCATAAAGAGCACTACTGGCATATGCAATTTTTGCCCTGTATTAAGTCCAGGACACTGAATCATTGTTTATATTTTCTTGGTTTGACACAGGTTAATAGGATAGTCTAAGAAAGAAGCACATTTGGTTTCCACTGTGAAAAATGGTTTTAGGGCACTATCACGTCTACAGTTGATAACCTGAAGAATTCTTTCTTAATACAGTTTTAAGATCACCAGAAAGCCTCCTAAACATAGCTCTGAAGCCACGGAGCACCTGCAATGTGCAAAGAGAGAGCAGCAAGTGTACGTGCTGAGAATCTCTTTTGTTGTCTGGAGAAACCTAAGAGATCTTGGTGCCAAAATAATTTCATTTCTGCAAGCCACACAGGCAGAATAAGGAAGACATGTTTTAAAACTGGTCAGTTTGACAAAGAGCCCAACAAAGGAAGCTTACTGGGGTCTGCCTTTGTTAAGGAAACTACACCATCACCATGCTGTGTTTTCATTTCTAATTCATGTGAGTCTTTTTCAGATAGAAACAAAAGGAAAGGCTTATAAAGCAAAATTGGAAGATCAATCATTTTGGACTGCATTATGCCAAATCACGCACCTGCTTCATTTCTGTATTACTAAATGATTCATAATGTATGGTCTGTTATGTGTGGTTCTTAATAGAATCACACAAATATAAGAATATTACATTGATTTATTCAAATCAAAACTATTAGTAGTTTCTTCTTTGTGCTGTTTTGGTTTAGTTTTAGGTGGTGCTGGGGACCAAACAAACCTAAGGCCTCATAATTGCTTAGCATGTGCTTGCAGAAAGTGTCATCCATGCTTAGGACATACTAGTATACCTAGATCTCAAGCATGCTTAGCACGTGCTGTACTCCCAAGCCACTCTCTCAGCTCCTTTCTTCCATTTTCTTAGGGAGTGATTTCTTTTTACCCTGAGACAGTAAGTTTCTATTGCTTCTTTCTATCTGTGGGAGCAACTGAGAAAAAGAGGAAGGACAGAATTAAACGTCTACCAGAGCAGGTGTAGTGGCTTACAACTGTGATCTCAGCACACTCTGGAGGTAGAAAGAGAAAGATCCTGAGTCCAGGGTAAGACTGGCCTTCATAGTTAGACACTGTCTCAAACAAACCAAAACCAAAACCACACATACACCCACACCACACACACACACACACACATCATACACCACACACACACCACACACACACAACATACCACAGACACACACCACACACACAACACACACACACACATACACACCATACACCACACACACACACACACACATACACAACACATACCACAGACACACCACACACACATACACACCATACACCACACACACACCACACCACACACCACACACCACACACACACACACATACAC